TATTGGTTGTTGTGGGTGTAGCGATATTATCAATAGGAACATTAATATTAATAAAGAAAAGGAAAAACACAGAAGAAACATTGGACCTTTGAATAATGTGAGAAAGAAATAATTAGGGTAATAAAGAATTGTTATTGCTCTTCATATTGATCCTAAGTTAAAAGAAGTGTTTAATCAAAATTAAGGGTTTCTAAGCGTGGCTAAATTAGTCATTTTGGCCAATTGGCCTATTTTTCTTAAGTATTTCTATTGGAAAAAGTGTCCTGTGAATCATTTTAATCCCTAATTTTAGGTTTGAAAACCGCAAAAATAAGATTGCGTTTCAAGGTGACGTTGGTACTACGTTAATTACACCGAGAGAGATTTTTATTGAAAAAGAGCATGTGAAGATACAATCGTAACAACAGTTCATGTTCTGGCCGCGGCTAGAAGGGAATAACAAGCACGAGATTGAGAAATAGCGAAAACACTAAGGATTGCAAGCCTGGTAATGATAGAGTGATAGAAGATGAGTTGAAAATAATGTTTTAGAAATCTGATGATACTAAGACCCACAATAGAGAGCATCGTTGCTGTTTCAATTTGATTTTATGAGAACCAAATTGATGTCAAAACGAACAGAACAGCAAGAAATAGCGCATTATGGTTGTCTATATCAAACATATAAACATGCAATCGTGTTTGTCTGCAAAAAGATGTTAATAGCAACAAAATATGATTATCAGGCTTATTCAACTGAATTTGAAGGTATTAAATACAAAGACAATGAATATCATAAAACAAAGGGTTTGGAGACAAATAAAGGCGAGTTTGTTACACTTCTGCTATTTTGGGCGGAAATGTAACAAAAAACAATATGGTGATTTTAGGTCATTTGGGTATCTTTGAATTGGTTGCTTGAAAAATCGATTCTAGCTACTATTTAAGTGAATTACATTATACGAACATCTGTTATTTATTTACATCCTGACGCAATTTTACATAAGTTACCAAATCAGGCAAAAATTGTTTGTTTTGAAAAGGTCCATAGTAATTTTGTTCGTATAGAAAATAGAGAGAGAAATAACAGTAGATAGCCTATCATACTACTATTTTAAGTACGTGTAGCTGTTTCCAGCACATTACAACCTTATAAATCTTATTGCCAGGTTGCATTATTATCTCTCCAATACTTTACAAATATGCTTTTATGTATACAAGTGTTTACATATCACACTATTATTACTGTATTCAACACACTCACATCCATTTCAAACACCTAAATACTCTTTTAATACCCTTATCAAATATTAAAATATTTTCAGGTAAATAGTATCATAAAACATCTCCATGCATGATATTATGCGATAAGTAGTATATAAATAAACGAAAANAAGTACGTGTAGCTGTTTCCAGCACATTACAACCTTATAAATCTTATTGCCAGGTTGCATTATTATCTCTCCAATACTTTACAAATATGCTTTTATGTATACAAGTGTTTACATATCACACTATTATTACTGTATTCAACACACTCACATCCATTTCAAACACCTAAATACTCTTTTAATACCCTTATCAAATATTAAAATATTTTCAGGTAAATAGTATCATAAAACATCTCCATGCATGATATTATGCGATAAGTAGTATATAAATAAACGAAAAAGATACCCCCATGTGTTTCAGTTACATTCCAGCGAGCTCGTCGAGTCAGAACAAGAAGACGGTAGAGCATTCCAGGAGTGAGGAGAGTTTGGAACGTGACAGTGTTGAAGTGCACTTGGATGACCCAAGTCTGTGTGAGAAAGGACGTGTAGGGCGATTAATCCAATTCTTTAGCGGCATCAATGCAGAGTTTACTGCGCATGAGTCAGAAGAAGGAGGGATAAAAAGTTCATACCCTGGGATTGAACTCACTCAGTCTGAGATGAAAGTGGAATTACAGGGAGATGATACAGATCAGTCACACCTGACATCAACCGACTATAGAGAGGTAGTCAGTGATATATGTAATGATCTCATTAGTAGCAGTGTGAAGGAGAGTGTTATTAGTGAGTCTAGTGATTCTCAACTGAGTATTAACCTTGGTGTTTCTGACAGTTTTGGAACCACTGATATTAGTGATTTGGCAGAAGAAGTAGCTGCAGAGAATAGTGATAAGGAGAGTGATACTCTTGAATCCGGTAGTAGCAGTATACAATTTGCTATTTCTGATGGTAGTGGAATTAGTGAAATCGTAACGGCTGTTGAGAATGTTACTGTAATGGGCGACAGTAGCAAATCCAATGAAAGCTGTGAAACAATCACTGTTGAAGATGTGGTGGAACATGAACAAGTTGATTTGAAATGTGTCTCAGAACACGAATCCAATTCATATTCGGCAACTGAATTCGACAAAGTATTTAATATTGATAATACGACTGTTATGGAATCATTTGATACAAAGGGGGATGTATCAGGAGATAAACCAGAAACAGTGAAAGAATCAATGGATTTGAATGGGGGCAACAAATTCATTGATCAAAATACAGAGTCATCTTCATATGTTGGATCAGAAAGAATGTCAGGTGAGAATGAAATAATTGAACAATCAAAAGAGACTCATATCAAAACATGGGCAGTAGAGAATAAGACTAGGAAAATAGTAATTACTTCATCAGATGGTAACATAATATCAGAGAATATTTTGGATAGATCTCAGAGAATACCACAGCCAGAAAATAGGTCGTGGTTTAGAAGATACTTTGGATGCATTTTAGGAGACTTCTGTGGATAAATTGTAAATAAAATATGATAGAATATCATTATGGTTTGGACCAAGGTTATGAATGAACTTTTAGGTGTTTAATAAGTGTTTGTACCTCTTATAGGAACTGTGAGATGATAGGGAGACTTCGCATATCCTGATTAAAATAGTTCTCCCTCTTATACATCCATTTATTCTTCTTTTTTATAAATGAACATGTATCCCTGTTCTAAATCGTCATTCTTTGTTTTTCTAACTATTTCGTCATTGATTACCACATCTTCTTTTGAATCATAATAAATGTAGTGGCCTGAATTCAACGTCGGTCCTTTGTGAATTATTGATCCTTTTAAGGTGTATTTGCATCCCTGGATATAGATCTCTCTTTCAACATCAACTGCATCCAATATTTTGATACCAACTCCATTTGATATTTTTGTTCTTTGTAGGCAAATAATCAACTCTTCTGGAACATGCATTTCAACCAGAGTACCCTTTGCCTGATGATTGCAATGTGTGCATGTTTCATCCATTTCCTGCATATTCTCCAATGCTTCACCAACACTTTTTGCAAAATTCAGCAACAAAACGGTTCCACCTTCTTTTCGTGTACTCGTCTTGTTGCATGCATTGCATTCTATTTCATACACCACTGAATATTCTGCTTTTTTGGTGACACTTTCAATCAAACCACATTCTTCATCTGATTTGAGTTTCTCCAGAATGACCTGAATGAATTCACAACAGTCAGCTTGTGTACCAAGTTGGAATGCATATGTGTAGTTGATGTAGAATAGATCCAAGAATGGTGCAATATCAACCATTCCATCTCCAACTAGCATGCTTTCATCAAAATTATTCAACTTATTGGTAATTTTGATAATTTGGCAGGTTATGCATTTCAATGGGTTATTTTCACATACCATAAAATGCATAGACATGTCCTTGCATAGAAGTTGACTCAATAAATGGAGGCCACCAGAAACAAAACACGTGTTTCCTTCGTTGACGATTCCAATTTGATTAGCTTCTTCTAAAATATCCTCTTCCCTGATATTCTCGTGGTATTTTTCAAGGAAGCTGAAATCAGTGTCCCTTGTTATGTGTCTGTTATGGATTTTTATCTTTCGATTGCATTTTTCAACAAGCATCTTCTCCTCCGTATTTAGGTCAAACAGTAGATTCATTGCCTCAGTGGCTGTTTCATTGGCTACACATTTTGTAGGCGGACCATTGTTAATAAATTCATTGCATTCATAACAGTATATTTTGTTTGTGGTTGAAACAAATATTGCCTGTTTATGCATATTACTATCATGTTCTGATTTTGCATGTTCCAGCATATGACTGTTTCCAACTGCTCCATACTGTTTCCTACTGCATCCTACGAAGCTACAACCTATACATTTCCACAGATTCTTTGTTATCTCACACATGCTACATTTTGCTGGTTTTTCAAATTCAATTGGCTTTTGTTCTATATGTGGGCAGAAAACAGAATCCTTTGGAGAATTGAACATGTTTGACAAAATCATCGACACACCCTCTTCTATTTTACCTGTTCCAATGGCCTTTATGTTTTCCAGATGCTCTTCTAGGAATCTTGATTCCCGGACACTCACCTCAATTTGCTTATTTACGTTCTCTTTCATATTGCAGACTACCTTGCACCCAAACTTACTCCTATGCATATCTGTATGCTGTAAACAGACTGTAAGCCCACACGTGCATATGTTCACACTTGTACACTCTGCTGTTTCGTAGCAATAGACACATTCCTTTGTTACATTTTGAATTGTAAATTGCATAAAATATGAGGGCTAATAAAAACAAACAAATTCCCTCACTCTTTATTTCTTGCTGGTCTTTCCACCTGCCTTCTTGATTGCGTCCTTGTCTCCTGATAGTACTGCGATACTCAATCCATACTTCTCCTTTGCCTCTGCCTCAGTCATCTTTCCCTTGATCTGACCTGCACAAACCAACATGCCTGAGTCCCTACAAACAAACTTTCCCAGTCCTGGGAAGCTTGCTGCCTCCTCAAAGAGCACCTGCTTTGTTGGATAAATCAGTGCCTCGAATCGTGCACCTGTTGGAATGATAGTTGGATTCTCGATCTCAACCTTGTCCTTGGTGATGCACTTTGTCAGCTTTGCAAACTTACATGCCACGTTTGCAGTTCCACAAGAAATGACTGGCGTATAGCCCTCCTTGATTCCACTCTGGTCTGTTCCACTCTTCTTTGACTTCTTCATTGAGATTCCTGCGACCAGGTAGAATGGGGAGCAGACGAATACACCATCGTCTGATGGCCCTGCAATTGACCCCGTCTTGATCTTCTCCACCGTGGCCTTGTCCTTCGTATCCAAAACGAATCCGATGTTTTCTCCTGAATCGGCCCTCTGCAACGAGCACTTGTGGGCCTCAATCGACTTCACCTTTGCGCTGACGCCTATTGGAAGAATCTTCACGTTGTCGCCCTTTGCCAGAAACCCGTAGTCGACTCGTCCACAGAGAACGGCCCCGTGTCCTGGGACATGGGCAATTGATGAAATTGGCATTCTCAGTGGCCTATCAATTGGCCTCAGTGGTGCGTCCTGGTAGTCGATTGCCTCCTCGAGGGAGTGAACCATGTTCTGCCCCGGTATCTTCTCCTTCACTGGTGCGCCATTGAAGAAGTCGTACTTTGGTCCGTCTCTGAAGAGGCCAACTCCCTTCAGTGCCGAAATAGGCAGGAAAATCACGTCGTCCCTTGCGACTGCAAGTCGCTTCAGAAGCAGCATCACCGCTGCGCACGCTGCCTCAAACGCAGTCTCAAGCGACGTGTCGTGCACGATCTGCACGTCATCGAGCTTGTTTATGCATACGATGAACTTCTTGGATCCAAGGACGGCCGCAAGTGTCAGATGCGTCTTGAGAGTTCCCTCAGTGGAGCACGATGCTTCGAATCGCGCTGGGCAGACGACGATCGAGACGTCGCTTTGCTTGCAGCCGCTTGTTGCGTTCTTGACGTAGTCGGAGTGCCCGGGGCAGTCCAGGACGGTGCAGACGAACTTGGGTGTCGACAGCTTCGTCAGCGTCGTGACGATCGTCACGCCCCTCTCGCGCTCCTCCTTCGTTCGGTCTGTGAACGATGCCAGAGCAAAGGACGACTTGTTGATCGCATCTGCCTCCTTCTGGAGCTTGGCGAGCATTCTCTCGTCCAGTCCACCGAACTTGAGTGAGAGCTGCCCCGTCAGAGTCGACTTGCCCGAATCAACGTGACCGATGATCGAAATTGCGATGTGTTCTTTTGCAATTGTAGCCATTGGGGGTGTAATAAAAATTTTTAAAAAGAACACCGTAATTAAATGTGATCTGCCTGTGGTGGACACGTATCACAATATTGATTTCAGAAAGAGGTCGAGGCTGAAGTTGGGACTGTCAAAGAGTGTCTCGATTTCAACTCTGTGGCCGAAGCCAAGGAGAAAGAGACAGTCGTCTTGGAGTCTTCTGTTTGGCTGGTTGTGGAGTCTCTTGACCAGATTGTGTAGCATTTTGGACTCCTTATCAGCCATTTCAATGCATTCTGACTGGAATATTTTGTAGTGGAAGATGTCAGATTGGCCTACTCCAATTCTGGTGCAATTTAGGCTGTTTCTGTAGTTCAGGAAGATGTGGAGGCCGTAGACGTCGAAATCAGTCAGGACGTGGATGGTGGCGTGGCTGGTGAGTTTGGTCAGAAAGTGGAGAGTGTTCTTGTCTGGAAAGCCCTTTCCACAGACAAGAAAGACGTCTTTTCGACCATTCGCTGGAAGATGCTCTCTTTTTCAACAACTAGAACTGTTTTGTAGTTGAATTCAGCTACTGTTGTATCTGTTGTGATTCTGGGGATGAAATTGGTATTACTATACCACATTTCATTACTGTCTGAAATCAGGCTTATGGTCCCACAGAAGAGACCCTTACAACCAGGGACAATGTTGAGCCAGGTGACATCTGATTCTAGTTTTCTGCTGTAATATTTGATCAGGTTATCTACAATGGCCTGTTTTCCAAACGTATTGACTGAGCTGTAATATATGGATCTTTTTGTGACTGTTCTTCCTTCTAATACATTTTTATAAACAATCGATAGAAACTTCAGTTTCTGCCTTGCTAAATGACCTGTTGACTTTAGAATATCTAATAACTCTGCTTCTATTCTTCGTAATACAGTCTTCTTCTGTTCTATTCTATTTTGTTTATTCTGCATTATTTTATGCAATAATTATTTTGTTTTGTGACTAATCGTAAACAATTGTTCGTATACTTTTATTGTGTTTCAAAGTGTTTGGTATCTGATGCTGTTCAGTATGCTGCTTCTTATACCAATAGTATTTGCTAGGCAGAATGCTGTTATATTTATACTGTGTCGCAACAGTGATGTAGAACAAATTGCCAAAACAGTTGAAAACTTCGAAGACAAATTCAACAAGAACTACGGATATCCGTATGTGTTTGTTAATGATAAGGTCTTTACAGATGAGTTTAAGGAGAAACTGAATAAAGCTACTAAGAATAATGCGACATATGGTCAAGTGGAGCCAGAAGAGTGGGACATGCCTAAGGGCATTGATGAAAATAGGGCTCGAAATAATTGGAAGAGACTCGCTGGAGCAGGTGTTCCATACGCTGAAACACTCTCATACCACAACATGTGCAGATATTACTCTCGTGGATTCTATAAACATCCACTTGTAGCAGAATACGACTGGTATTGGAGAATTGAACCAGGAGTGGTTTTCCACTGTGACATCAATTTTGATCCATTTGATTATATGGTTCAAAATAACAAGAAATACTCGTTTGTGATCAGCATCTATGAGTTTATGATATCAATAGAAACACTGATGCAGAATACAGCTGAATTTATACTCGAAAACAACATACCAGACAAGGATAACCTGAAATTCATGTTTGATCTGGGCAAATACAATGGGTGTCATTTTTGGTCGAATTTTGAAATTGCCAATTTTGACTTCCTGAGATCAGATTTGTATGAAAAATACGTTGATTTTCTGGATAAGAAGGGAGGATTCTACTATGAACGATGGGGAGATGCACCTATTCACTCAATTGCTGCCTCACTCTTTCTAAACAAAGATGAAATCCACTTCTTTGATCAAATTGGATATACACATGATATATTCACACATTGTCCTACAAATGGAGTCAATTGTGGATGTGATACCAAGACAAGCGTAGACAACTTACCTAATTCTTGTTTACCGAGGTATTTGGATGAAATGCGTCACCAAACAATTTAATCATGAATAAACCTTGTCCAATCCAATTCGTTTACAGATTTCTTTTATGGTTTCCTTTGTTATATTCAACTTACAGAAATCATTTCTTCTTGTGAGTATTTTGTGTTTGATCAGTTCGTTAATTTCTAGTTTGATGTTAGTTCTGTTATTGAGATCACCATCCACATTTTTGATTTCATTCAATAATTTGTTGAATCTGGTTTCACTGAGTAGGCAGAAGACAATTACACACTGTGCATATGTCAGATTGTTTGCAATGAAACTGGGAGCAGAGACCTTTCTACGCATCACACTACAGACTGATAGTTTCTTGTTTTGTTCATACAATTTTCTATCATTTAATACAGACTGTTTTTCATCATCAGTCAATTTGAATTTGTATGGGACAAATCTACGATCACGTTCATTACTGAATAGAATCACCTTTGAATTGTTAGCAACTTCGAATTTATCAGTGTCCTTGAATAGAACAGTGAATTCTACAGTATATGGATCATAGCTTGAGGCAAATGCTTTTTTGTATTCAATTTTTTGATATTCAAGCCATCCTTCTAACATTTCAAATGATTCCAGTGTATATAGCTGTATCTGGAATTCATTTTCATTTTTGATTATTTTACGAAGTGTTTTGAGGTTTTTGAATGAGACAATTTTCATGGTATTAGATGGGTGAAATTATTTTAGACCATTTTTATGCAAAAGAAAGAAATACAGAAGCAGAATCACATGAAACAGAGTGGTGCAGATATTTTGAGAAATCGACTACTTCAAACGGCAACAAATAGGGAAATAAGTGAAGATACGGGATCTAAGCTAAGTGATTTGAGAGGAGTTGAATATTTGATGGGAGATATCAAATCCAAAATGTTCAATATTTTGTTCAAAGCAGATAAATTCAAGGAGATGAATGCTTCTAGGCCAAATATTACGCTAATTTATGGGATTAGTGGAGTTGGAAAGAAGTATATTGTCCATTGCTTTGCACGTGAGTACAAAGTGAAAGTATTTAACAAATATTTTGAGACAGCTCAGGATGTAAAGGATTTGTTTAGAAGGGCAGAGGCTCTAGAGAATGCGATTGTGCTAATTGACAAATTGGATGATTATGAGGAAGAGAAAGGAATAATTCACCAAATAAATGTCAGTGCAACCAAAACAACAGCACTGGTTATAATTACGCACAAGGACAAAAACATTAAGATGCATTTTGATAACGACATTTTTGTAAAGATACCAAGAATACACGATAGGAAAGCTATTTTAGATGGAATGATTGAGAAGATGCAGACTGAAAGCATAGACACGAATGGATTAGCGTATTATACGCCTGGATTTGTTCCAAGAGATTTGAACAAATTGGTTAAAATAGCATCAACACATGCAGTAGAAAATGGGCTGAATTTTGTTAAAATGGAACATTTTGAACAAGCATTACATAAGTGGAAGAATATCGACCACTATGTAACATTTGAAGAGATTGGAGCAATGGAAGAAGTTAAGGAAGAATTGAAATTGTCCATTTTGCTACCATCACAATTTCCAGAGAAATTTCAAAAGTTGGGAATTCATAAACCAAGTGGTATATTGCTTCATGGGCCACCTGGTTGTGGGAAGACACTGATTGCAAAAGCAGTGAGCAATATGAGTCATTGCAATTTTTTGTCAATCAAAGGTCCAGAATTGATTACAAAATACGTTGGTGATTCTGAAAAACACTTAAGAGACTTGTTTGAAAAGGCAAAGAATCTGAGTCCATGTGTTTTGTTCTTTGATGAAATTGATAGTTTATGCAGTAAGAGAGGGACAAATGAGTTTGGAAATAGGATAGTGAATCAGATATTAACATTATTGGATGGGATGGAAGATAGAGGTGAAGTGTATTTGATTGGAGCTACGAATAGGATTGATCAGATTGATGATGCTATGTTAAGAACAGGACGATTTGATAAGGTGGTTGAAGTCAAATTACCCACGAAAGAAGGAGCAGTTGAAATATTTAAAAAGTGCACTAAAAACATTCTAATTGAACAATTTGATGTGACTGAATTAGATTTGGAAAGAATGTCTGGGGCTGATATTGCAGGAGTAGCAAAAGAAGCAGCATTATTATGTATCAAAGATAATTTTGATAAAGATCAGCCAATAATCTTGAGAAAGTATTTTGATGAAGCAATACATAAGATAAAAATGATGAAGAAGTAATAAAAATGATAGAAAATGTGGTGTTTGTAGAAAGTTAATATGATTAGTTAAAGGTTTATTGAAATTTGTTCTTCTTCCAAGAGAAAGCAACCATTCTTTACACCACAATAAGGATCAAAAATAAAATTTTATTAGTAAACATCATATAGTAATATATTATTCTACAATTACAATTATATGTTCATATTCTACTGATATTTATAGATATAGCTAATTCATATCATATAATATTAATTTAACAATATCTTATATTTTTAGTCATTTCATGCTATCATAAATTTCCATTTTTTAACTATTATTTGAGGGGGTAATCCTTGTTATTATAACGGCATAGTAAGCCAGAAAAAGACATTAGGGTATTGTGTATATAGCTTTGTAATAAGTATTTTTAGGAATATTTAGTTAAAATATGAGTTCTTCTAAGAACAAGTATAAAAGCAATAGTATGGGATAAAATAAGAAATTATTATAAAAATCATTAGGTTGACTCTGCCTAACGTAGATGCTAGTCTTTAAGATTAAGCCATGCATGCTAAGTGAACCTGTACGGGGGAACGGCGAACGGCTCAGTAA